ACCTTCACTGCACAGACGATATAGAAAAAAATAAAAATGTCTTAAATTAAGCGCATTTACCCTAAATTTGAGTAGGTAAATAACAGGATCTGCCATTGGAATGAGCATTTTTACTCTTAAATAAGATAATTAGACAAAATATGCACTTGAAATAAGACAATGCAATTTTTTCCCCTTATTTTAAATGCAAATTGTCTTGCTCCATCAGCAAAGAGTCTCACTTACCTCCTCAACGCAAGAAAATTTTTTGTTATTTTAAGAATAAAAAACTATTTCTTTGCAGTGTTGAACTTGTTTTAAAGCTGAGAAGATCCTAGAGAATAAAATCAGTCAAAGTTATGCTGCAGCAATCCCTTTCATATGATTATTTGACAAATACACAGAATGTCAATCCAATCATTTATAAGACATAAAACTTACAGGGAGATACAGTCTTGGATGCCAGCGTAACTTCCCATAAAAATACAGACCAGAGAATATAGCACAAAATGTTAGAGCACTTTGAATTGTAGACTATTAATGCTTGCTAATATAGTTTGGCTTTCCTCTGAACATTTGCAGTTTGAGTTGTTTTAAACATCTCTATTAGTCATCTGACTCCTCAGGGACTATATTTTTTAATTTCAGAAAAGCTCATAAAAAAATTTTACAATTTGTCGAAAAAGAATATAAAAACAGAGGTGGATAGTAAGCAGTTACCTTAAATCATTAAAATTATTTGTGTCACTTAAAAAGAAAAAAAAAGTGCAATTTATAGCACCTTATTTACTTGAATAAAGTTTCTGTCTAATCTATGCGCTAACATACTACAGCTGTTGATTTTGTATGTTTTCTAACTCAAAAAATTTATTTTGAAGGGTATTTATTTCACCTAAAGTTGTCATTGTGCAATTACTTAACAAACTGTATGTCTATCTCATTCTTTTAACCACCATAATTTCTATATAAATCTATATATTTTATTTAATCAGTGGTAGTTTTTATGTTTAGTAAGTAACATTGATTAGCGTTTTTTTCGAAATACTTTTTCACTCTTGAATAATTTTTAGAATTAATACTTTTACTTTTACTTGAGTCAAAGTATGATAAAATAGTATTACTTTTACTTGAGTACAAGTTTTTAGGTACCCCTCAGCAGGGGCGAAGCTAGATGGGGGGCCAGGGGTGGCCATGGCAACCCTTAGCCAATCGTTGGCCACCATTTATTTCCCTCTAGTACAGATGGTGGCAAGAATAATACTCTCAAGTGGAATATTCAAAACATTTTAATTTTTCATATATTACTTTATACTATTACTTTATAACTTTTATATATTACTATTACTTTACAACAACAAAAACTGTGGTTAACTATGCCCATCAATATACTAACATTAAAGATGACATTTAAGAATGCATGCTCTTTTCAGAAATAGATTTTGTGTTTTATGGGTTAAAGAGAAAATCATTTGTCTCCACAAGTCATATAGGAGTCTTCAGTGAAATCATAGATAAATAACAATTTTAATAAAAACTTATTTTATAATTATAAATTTATGTCAATATTAGTACCGATAAATATCAATTTTATGCAGAATGATTACTGATAAAAGTAGGTAAGTAATGACAATGGAAAAGATGTTCGCCCAAAACTCAAACCTGAAAGAATTTTATCCACTATACCTTTTATTTAGAAAGCACAGATGTTTCAATATATTTGTCTATTTGTTAGCAAAGGCAATGGGAAAGTATAGTTTGTCTTTATTTAGAAAATGTGGATGTTTAGCTTGTTAATTTTCCTGTTGGAAATGTAGATTGACCGTGAGGTTCTGGTGCCTATTTACTTTTGGCTCCCCCACTGTGCATTGGTTATTGCCTGGCCACCCTTATATATAATTTCTAGCTACGCCTCTTCCACCTTGGTCTAAAACCATGAAATGGATTAAAAAGGCAGCAGCAGGTGTAATACATGGGTACACAATGGTTTCTTGTATAAAATAGAATCCCTTAGCAAAAAGTAGTTATTCAAGTATACTAAAAGTGCACTAATTTCATGCTTAAAATCAGACAGTGTACTTAGAGTTAATTCTAAACTATATTTCATATACTTAACAATAGTATAGTCAAGTGTACTTGACTATACTATTGTTTACTAAAGTATACTTTAAGTAAACTTAAAAATGTCCCAATTTAGTTCAAATTAGTATTACTTTAGTAATACTTCAAGTACACTGTTCGGTATACTTTTTAACCTTATACTTATATCTAACTATTCTTAGTAGAATTTACTTCCAGTATACTACTTCTTGCTAAGGGTGGACAAATAGGTAATAATTGAACTGGAGACACAAACGAACTTGAATCTACTGTGTGTTTTGTTTTCTTCTTTATTTTCACATTGCTCTCCTCCATTGTTCTGGTTTTGTGTTTCGATGCCAGTATGGGTTGAAGAAAAAAGAAGAGGTGGAGGCTGAAGCAGCGGCTGCTGCAGAGGAGCCTGCAGCCGGCAGCTTGACTCGACCCAAAAAGGCCGTGCCATCTGGCTGTGGTGATGAGGAGGAAGAGGAAAGCATCATGGACACAGTGATGAAATACCTGCCTGGCCCTCTGCAAGACATGCTAAAGAAGTAGCTTAGCCTAGCAGCTAACTAAAGCTAACATCTGACTGAATTTACAGGCTACATTCACAAGGCTTGAATCAGGTTTTTACTGTCAATGTAGATTTGAAATAGAATTTAGAGGAGTGTTTCTTGGTGTTAAATCACAGCTTTGTAGTAGGGTAACTTCTCAAATGTGAACAAACAGACTAAACTGACTCAACAGCCAGGTGAATGTTAACTGGAGCGATGTTAGCATCGGCCATGTTGGATTTCAAAGCTAACAACTAGTGGAGGGCTAAAGTCACACTTCAGATGGTTTATCCTTCTAGTCTGAGAGGTTTTGAACTTTTTTTTTTCTCCTCTGCATTTGCTGCAGCTTGGAAAAATTACTGTCTGCCACCTTCACTCAGTTTGTAAATAAGTGCATACCCTCAAGGTGGGCAAACAATAATAGATATCACATCTAAAAGAATATATCAGTGGCTACTAAAAAAAAAGAAAAAAAGAAAGAAAAAAATCCTAATAAGCCATATTTTAAGAACAATTTAAAGACTAATGTGTGTTCCTGAAGTTTCTGTTCCATGTGTTCTGTCTAATATGTAAAACTTTTTGCACACAGTGTTCCACGTAATATGTAAAACCTTTTTGTCTTTTCAGGCGCACTCCTTCAAACACGTTACACGTCGTTCATGTCGTACAGTGTGCAGAAATCTTTCTACTTACTTGCCCAGTGTTATGTCTTGCATGCCATATGTCTGGACAGTTTGTCGTGTGAATATGTAGTCAAACCACCTGATTCTTGTCAATCTCGTTTCTTATCATGCAAAAAAAATACCAAGGCAATAACTTAAGTTTGACTTTGTTTACTTCCATGTTGATATAATCGTTAGTTATAATATTATCAATAGTTTAAAAAAAATAGTTATGGATGTATTCAGGACAATAATTTTGATTTGCTGGGTGTCTTTTTTTTGTCGTTTTTGAGGAAGAATGACTGCTGTGGCTGTTTTGAACAACAGCCAAAACCTTAAGCTTTCAGCCATAACACCAGAAGTTACAGTATCTATACTACTTCAATCAGGATCTATGAGATGGATATTTTGAATGATACATGTATTTATTTATTTATTTATTTTTATTAATATTATGTCGAAGAGACCGTAACTTGTTGGAGAGTTGCCACTATCCTTTAATGCACAATCCCAGCCTACTAATTTTGTTTCACAGAAAATCACATCAATACGTGTTTTATGAGATTCAGAATTGCCGTTTTGGATGGAGCTTATGCAGAATGACAAGAGCAATAAAGGTTTAAATGTATGTTTCTGCCTGAGATACAATAAAAATTTAAAATCCTCCTCACAGATATGAAAAGTGTGTTTCTTTTTTCTGGTAATACATTTACAAGAGGACAGAAGGAAAACAAGATGCACCAGGAATTTTTTTCCCTTTTATTTGTTTTTTGTAGATTTTTGGCCACATCAATACAATTCAAATATAACCGACATTTTAGCAGCTTAGATCAGCTGTTAAAAAATGTCTATAAAGGTTAGTATCATATTAATAGAAAATATTTTATGTAGGGATGGTGAAAAAAGTTTGACAAGGTCTTTCATCTATTTTATTTTTAATGTTCTGATATTTCCACAGAGCAATGCTTTTAATCATCATTTTGTCTACTTTAATGGTTTTGAAAAAAGATTAGCCTTTACTGGAAATAAAAGGGAAGATATCACTTCCCTCTATTATTAAAAATGAAATATAAATATAAGTTTTATGACACTAAAAGTGAGAGTTTCATAATCATTATGATGTTACCCCTGAGGTGTATGGGGGGGCAAAAGGTACAGAATTAAATGGATAAATCATGAAATAAGAATGTTCAATAAATATTAATTAATTATTGGATGTCCCTTCAAAAAGGTTTCATGTATTCTTTATCTTAAACATTACGTAGTAAATAATCATATACTTGATTAAGTATTACTCTCCAATAGATTATTAATTATACATACAAAAGTTTGAATAAGTTGTCATTTAAAAACATTTATAAATTATTCAAAAATACATGTAATCATTTCAGTCTATTTTTATCAAATTAAATATAGATAAAGAAAATTCCATGTATTTTTGAAGGGCTGTCAGTATTTGTCACTGCTGTTTTGAAGTGAAGTGTTTAAACCCTCTGGACAAACATTTAAAACTATTAAATTAACTAAAGGGAGACAGAAAAAATATTAAATGATACCATACTCACCATTTCTTATTTTTCCTGGATCAATTCATTCTCTAAAACTGAAAGAATTGAAAACTGTACCTTCAACACCTTCATTCAACTTTCTTACAAACTTATAACAATTTCTAATTAATGTTTTTCTTTCGATTTCTTAGTTTGATAATAAAGATTTTTTTTAGATAGCAGATAGAGTCTAAAACCAGATCTTAAGAATGTCTTCCATCTTTTCAAGTAATTTAATACAATGACACATCTTTCTTAGCAAATTTAAAGATAAAATTTAATTCTGGTTTAAATTCTTCAAAGTTACTCTGGGCAAATATTTCCGCTGAAGGCCCCCGTGTCGTGCCGGCTCGGTGGTGGACAACTGCAGTAAGGATGCTGTCAAGCAGAAGAAGGACTGCTATGGTCCTGGTTGGCTCGTGAGACTCGTGAGACAGGAAGCAGTTATGAGGTCAAGTGTACTGCAACCCAGATGCTTGCAGAGGCAAAAACTGGGGCCTCAGATGAGTTTGGAGAGGCAATCAAGAAAGACTATCAACAGCCTCAAAGCGATCCTGGCAAACCATCTGGCGCCTCCAGAGGGGAAAGCAGTGCTTTACTAACACAGTTTTCATTGGGATTGGGGAGCAGCTAAGCTTGAAAGAGCAAATCCTTGGTCGGTTGAAGGAATACTTTGAGGGTCGCACCAATCCGGCTGACACGCCTTCTGTGGTGGAAGAAGTAATAATGTCCTTAGGGACAGATTTGTTCATCGCTCAGGCTGAAGCCACTGAGATGGTCAAAAAACTCCACTGTGACAAGGCTTCAGGGATGGACAACATCCATGCCGAGTACCTTAGAGCTCTGGATGTTGTTGGGCTGTCTTGGCTAATATGCCTCTTCAACATCTCTTGGAGGACCGGGACAGTGCTCCTGGATAGGCAGACTGGTGTGGTGGTTCCCCTGCATAAGAAAGGGACCCGGAGGCCGTGTTCCATTTATAGAATAATCACACACTTCAGCCTCCTTGGTAAGGACTATGCCAGGGTGCTGGAGAGGAGAGTCCAGCTGATAGTCGAACAATGGCTTCAGGAGGAGGAGTGTGTTTTTTGTCTTGTCCGTGGAACAGCTCTACACCCTCTGCAGGGTTCTTGAGGGTTCATGGGAGTTTTTCCAACCAGGTCACATGTGCTTTGTGGACATGGAGAAGGCATTTGACTGGGTCTCTTGTGGTAAATTTTGGGTGGACGCTTCAATAGTACGTGGTTGGGCGCTCTTTACTAGAAGCCATCCAGTGTCTGTACAATCGGAGAATGAGCCTCTTCCGCATTGCCAGCATGAAGTCAGACCTGTTCTCAGTGCATGTTGGACTCCGTCAGGGCTGCATTCTCTCTGATCCTGTTCATAACCTTTATGGACAGGATTTCTAGGTGCAGCCCAGGAGGTGTCTATGGAGAGGCAAGTCTGGTCCCCTCTACTGAGACTTCTCCCCCCATGACCCGGTTGAAGCTTACCACAAGTAAGAGTATCATTATAAGTTTACACATTGGCAAACATTTCATAAGCCTGATTTCCCAAGGGGATTTAAAGCCGAAGAAAAAAAGAGCCACATTCTAAAAAAGCTTTGCTTCCAAACTTCGCAGTTCCGAATTCTCCCGAGTGGTGCACGACTTTACACGACTGAATAAAGTGAATGCGATTGGTTGTNCCACATTCTAAAAAAGCTTTGCTTCCAAATGCCGCAATTCCGAATTCTCCCGAGTGGTGCACGACTTTACACGACTGAATAAAGTGAATGCGATTAGTTGTTTATCAAGAGGGCGGGATTGTTGTGGCGTAAGGTTCGCAAGCAAGTTTGATTGTGGCCAGTTTGTCGGTCGGAAGCATCTTGCTAACCAGTTAGCAACTTAGTGCTAGTAGGTTATTATATTCGAACAAATTATATTTGGACCAAGTAGCACTAAATTGCTGACTTAGAAACGACACTGTCAAGGATCGCTATGAACAGAGTAAACGTGCAAGAGGAGGAGAGTTTTGTGTCGGAGGTCGTGGATGAGTCTCCTTTCAATGGAGCGCTCACAGAGCTCAGAGTGTTAAGTTAAAAGTTCTCTTTTCTGTTGCTGTTGTTCAATAAAAGTACGTTTTAGGATCATTTGAGGCAAAAACATCATACTTTTAAAAGGGGACTTCGGCGCGTGTATGATGTCATCCAGGCCCGCCAGCTACCATTCCTTCATCCAATTTGCTGAACTGTTGCTGGTTTTACTCACATGCCTGGAAGATGTCTAGTGCTACTACCACAGATGATCTCGCTCTCGAAATGGAATTGAACGATTCAGATTAGCTAGCCGAATGAATAGAAGAGGTAGAGCGTAGTCGCCTGTGGCCCGTGCTATCTTTTACAACTCCAGTCCGCATGCGCGGATGACGTGATACACACTCTGCTTTGTTTTTAAAACATAGAAATATGAAAAAATATAACCGCAGATGTCTGGGGGACAGTGATTCGCCTACAATTTATGAATGCAGACATTACTTGGATATAACCTAACGGAATATCTTCAGAACAGCTCCAAATGACACAAAACTAATATGGGTGAGTAGAACATGATGTAATAACGTAAAAAAAAAGGGCCCGATGTAGAAAAAAAACAAAGTTCCCCTTTAAGCGTCACTATATGGCTCATTTACCAATTGAATGCACAATTTTTTTTAAATGTTCCGAAGTTGAGAGGGCCGCCGNTTCCGAATTCTCCCGAGTGGTGCACGACTTTACACGACTGAATAAAGTGAATGCGATTGGTTGTTTATCAAGAGGGCAGGATTGTTGTGGCGTAAGGTTCGCCAGGAAGTTTGATTGTGGCCGGTTTGTCGGTAGCATCTTGCTAACCAGGTAGCATCTTAGTGCTAGTAGGTTTCCAATGGGAAATTATATTCGGACCAAGTAGCACTAAATTGCTGACTTAGAAACAACACTGTCAAGGATCACTATGGACAGAGTAAACGTGCAAGAGGAGGAGAGTTTTGTGATAGAGGTCGTGGATGAGTCTCCTTTCAATGGAGCGCTCACAGAGCTCAGAGTGTTAAGTTAAAAGTTCTCTTTTCTGTTGCTGTTGTTCAGTAAAAGTATGTTTTAGGATAATTTGAGGCAAAAACATTATACTTTAAAAGGGGAACTTTGGCGTGTGTATGATGTCATCCGGGCGCGCCGGCTACCATTCCTTCATCCAATTCGCTGAACTGTTGCTGGTTTTACTCACATGCGTGGAAGATGTCTAGTGTTACTACCAAAGATGATCTCGCTCTCGAAATGGAATTGAACGATTCAGATTAGCTAGCCGAATTAATAGAAGAGGTAGAGCGTAGTCGCCTGTGGCCCGTGCTATCTTTTACGACTCCAGTCCGCATGCACGGATGACATCATACACACTCTGCTTTGTTTTTAAAACATAGAAATATGAAAAAATATAACCGCAGATGTCTGGGGGACAGTGATTCGCCTAAAAGTTATGAATGCAGACGTTACTTGGATATAACCTAATGGAATATCTTCAGAACAGCTCCAAATGACACAAAGCTAATATGGGTGAGTAGAACATGATGTAATAACGTAAAATCAAGAGCCCAATGTAGAAAAAAAACAAAGTTCCCCTTTAAGCGTCACAATATGGCTCATTTACCAATTGAATGCGTAAGTTTTTTTTAAAATGTTCCGAAGTTGAGAGGGCCGCCGGAACCAGCGGAGCTCAGAGGGTAGCGGCAGCCAGGTCTAATCCCAGCCCGTCTGCAGCGG